CCCATTACGAGCCCATTTTCCGCACCGTCCAGCGGCCGAACCACGCATCCAGCGCCACCCAACTATCATGCCCCTTCTTATTCCTCTCTTATTTGTAACCTCCCATTTCTTCTTTCCTTCTCTCTTTTATTTCTCTCCTCTTGCCCCATTCCTATATCCTCTCTTCTCCTCGCTCTTACTTCTCTCCTCTTTGCCCTTTACAATTCCTTCTCTCATCTCTCTTACTCCTGACCTTATCCTCCCTTTTTTTCTTCTCTTTCTCTCATCACCTATCTCCTCTTATCATCTTCCGTCCTTCCAACTCTCCCTCCTCTCCCTCCACCTCCACCTTCTCCCCCATCCCTCCGAGACTCCGCCCAGGGCAGGAGGAGGTTGTCGACGCCGGTGCCCCGCCCTGGCCGCCCGTCCTATCTGACGCGTCATCGAGGCAGCGGCTACGATAACTCCACGACCGGGACTCCGCCGATCATGCCCGCGCGCCCTGAATCATAAAGCCATTCGCCCGAGACACTTGTATGCCCTGCGACCGTATCGGAGATGCTCGATGTCGGAATAATCGCGCGGATTCCTTACATTGAGTTCTCAAGCAAGAAGAAGAAGAAGAAGAAGAAGAAGAAGAAGAAGAAGAAGAAGAAGAAGGAGAGAAGAAGAAGAAGAAGAAGAAGAAGAAGAAGAAGCAGAGGAAGAAGGAGAAGCAGAACAAGAACAAGAAAAAAACAGAATCCTCTTTACAACACCGAAGTGCAATCGCCTTATCATCTTGAAAAAAAGACTACCCTCATCCACGCATCCAAAACCACAGCCAGAAAGAAAAGGTCAAAGACATCCGCCACTGGCTTGATGGGCCCCTGTCGCCCTGCTTGCGCCCTCGAGCTGTGACCTTCACGCTGATTGCAGCGGCGCCACACAACTCGCAGGCTGATCGTTGCAATAGATGTCATTTCATTCCAGATGCAGACACGCGGGGATGCCGAATGTGCTCTCGCGCCACGCACATACCTGCGCTTGTTCTTTAATGCGGACAGGTACGTCTTTCTTGCGGACAGATATTTCTAAGCGGACATGTGTTTCTATGCGGGTATGGACTTCTAGACAGATATGTATTCTATATGGTTATGTAATCCTAGGTATCAATTTCAATAGGATCAGGCACTTCTACGTGTTCATCAGTACTTCAACAAGGGCAGGCACACATGCACCTGAAACGTATCTTCCAACTTAAATACACACGTTGCCGTCATTATTGCAGAATGATACGAGATGACACGGGGAAATAATGACTAAGCTGATGTCCGACGACGTGACTCTGAAGGGAATGGCGGGATGACTTTATTCTTGGAACACGGGTCTAATGTGGACCAGCTTGGATGACTTTCCTTTTTTTAATATAAAATCGCAAACACACACACGCACGCATGCACACGCATACATACATACACACACACATGCACGTGCATGCATACAAAACACACACACACACACACACACACACACACACACACACACACACACACACACACACACCACACACACACACACACACACACACACACACACACACACACACACACACACACACACACACACACACACACACACCACACACACACCACACACACACCACACACACACCACACACACACACACACACACACACACACACACACACACACACACACACACACACACACACACACACACACATTCAGAATCACCCGTGCAGCTCAAGAACCTCCCTTAAAGTACAACGGCTCACAAACATTTCCGATTCACACTATTTTTCATAAACGGTCATTCATTACAAGCACGATTCTCTCCCGAAACTGTATCCAGAACCACTAAAGCAAATAGATTCAAACTAATTAAATAATTAAACAAGTAATCAAAGAGATGAATAAATAAACTAGTTAATAAATAAACAACAAATAAGCCAACCTGTGAAGAGAACGAACGAACGAACGAACGACGCGTTACTTTCACCGCACAAGCAGTCGAGAAGGAGAATCGTAATGAACAAGGAAGAGTGACGTAATAATACTAAGTGGTGGAAGTAAATAGAAAATAAACAGAAGTAAGGAGAGAGTAAATGCAGAATGGTATGGAAGAAGAGGGGAACGACATAAAAAAGAGAGTGTATGAAATAGACTGATTAACTGAACAGATAAACAAGAAAAAGGTAGTGAAATGAAAGATGAATAAATGAAAACAAAACAAGTGAAAGGTGCCATTCCTCTGTGATTAAAAACACCTGCTGATCAAGGAAACGAAACAAACAATTAATAGAGATCAAACGAGGCAAAGGAAAAAAAATCAATTAGGCCTTTCCAAACCCTTCTAAAAAAAATGGTAGACACGAGAAAAAAATCAGGAAAGACAGATTTTGGAAGAGCTCTGCAGAGTCTAGAGCTTAAGAAGGAGAGAGGAAGAAGCCGTTATCGCATCTTATTAGTCTTGCATTCAAGATTTCTACACAGTATCTGGCAGGATGACGGCGCCTGGTGGGTATTGCGTGGCCGGGAAAGAAGGTTAGGCATACAACTCGCAAGCTCATTCGTACGATGACCCAAGAAGACATAATGAGAGAGGCAGATAAATATTAACCAAGGTAAAATAATACATACACTTACATACACGCGCGCACACATATATATTGCAAAAGAGCGAATGCATCGTGGGTGTTACTATCTTCAACTTTAATCTTTATTCTCTAGTCTTAATAAAGTTATAATCTCGACAGGGTTAACTCCTGTCTAAATAAACTCGTAAATACAGCAAACACAGCCGTTGAGTGCAAGTGACGATGTTGAGATTGTGACGTAAAAAGAAAGAAAGGAATGCACCTTCCTCCTGAGCATTTCCTTAGGCTGCGAGGAGCGGGCGGGACGACTCTCACGCCGGGACTCGTTACGTAACGGGTAATATCATATGGGTGGACGGGCGTGCGGTGTTCGGGTGTGTATACTTGTCGCGTCAAGGATGTGTCAATTGGACATTCCAGGATTCTAGCACCCTCTCCCCGCTTCGAAAAGGGGAAAAAAATTGGTGCCCCTCCATCTCCCCGGGCACACGCAAAAAGAAAAGAGTACTTTCGGTTACCTTACTCCCAAACCTTTCCTCGCTGCCCTCCACGCCTAACGTCTCACCTTTTTCTCTCCCACCAGCCGTTACGCCCTCTCCCCCCCCCCTTGCAATCCCTCACGCCCTGGCCTCCCTCCGCCCGCTTCCCGCCGCCCTTGGAGCCCGCCTTCGACTCAGACCCACACCCGCCCCAAAACCCCACGCGTCGGCCGCCATCCACCTCACCTCCGCCGCCGCGCACAAGCGCAACCACAACGCTTCTCCTTCACTCGTATTGCCGTGCGACAGCCCTCCCTCCCTCCCTCAAGAGCCACTTCAACCTCCTATCTCTACATCCTGTTTTCCCAATAAAAGCGGATAACACGGCGCTTCATCCCGGCGCGAAACTCGACGCCGTTCGCTCCCCGAGTCCCTCTAAATCCTATTTTCTCCCACAAGGACCTGCCGTGCCGCGCCGCTGGCTCTGTTGAACCAGCCTCTGTCCCTCCCTCTCTGAAATCACCTGAATGAGGTAGCCCCTGTGCCCGCCCACCCACCGAAGGGGATGCATATATAAATCCGCCTATAAAGCCCTGATTATGTGACAGGGATGACTTCTCTTGAAGGGAATATCCTCTGAAGATGACACGACGCAGATGACCCTTCACGGAAACAGCCTAATGAAGACGGAACTAGCCCCCCCCCCCCAAAGAACTTCTAACCCGTTCTTTATATCAGATAACAAATGAATGAACCCAACGCCTCGGCCAGAGCAAGGGATCTACCCAGGCCTCCCAACCCCACCCTCTCCAACCCCTCAACTCCTATCCACCTGCTCCTCCCAACCCTTTACCTCCCCTTCCCCGCCTCCCACCTCCCTTCCCCACCTCATTCCTTGTCTTCTCTCCCCCTCCCGCTGCCATCCCGACCCGAAGAGCCTACCGCTAAACCCGAATGCGGCCTCTCGAGGGAGAAAAAGGGGAATCCATTATCCGTTCCCGATTACCGTGAACATGATCAAAGGCGCCTCTACTTCCCTATTCATCACCACTGAGCAAACACTTTCCAAAAAATGATCATGCTATGTACAGTGACATTTATTTTACCCAGGAGGACACATCGCTCAGCCAAGTTTATATTCAACTCCCAACGACTCCTAATCAAAAAGAAGGAAGCAATAACAGCCCTTGAATGGCGGCATTTCGCGAATCTCTAAAAGCAAGCAGGAGAGTGTCTGAGGACCTTTCAAGCGCCGGAGTTACAAAGCGACCACACGGCAGACCAGGCAAACACGCCTCACAAAGGGAAGCTAAGCCTCCAGTGCGTCCACGCCCCCACTCAAACACCCCCAGGGACCCGGTCTGTGCCCCGGGATTGTACTAAAGCCTCGGACCTGAATGTTGAAGGACCGCGCTTCCACAACATCCCCTCCGCTTGTCTATCCCGAAGAGCCTACGAAATTTCGCGTTATAATTTTCCTCTTTTTATGCAAACGGTATGAATGGGTGCTGGCATGGTCGCGGGAGGCTACCACCATCCCTTGGACCAGCAGCGTCTAGTGGTCAGTGGTGGGCCAGTTTTGGTTAACACCTGTAGTTCAAGGTTACAGTTGGTGGGGCGAGATGACTCACCCTAATGGACATCCGCCGCACTCCACTCCACCCACTGGGAGTCTGTCCCTGGATATCCTTCGCCCTGATTCTCGACGCAATAATTATTCCCACACAGATACGCTCTCGGTCGAAAAGGCATAAAAAATAGCCTTTGCCCAGTCAATTCGTTTGCTCACTCGCTGTCCCACTCAATCATTTCACGTCCTTACACTTCCTCATTCACTACGCCTACACATTCTCTGAACTCATCTGTCTGTCCTCGTTCACATTCAGTCATTCAATCACTCATTTTCCCCCCACCCGCCCACTCACTCTCGCTCGCTCACTCACCACAGCATTGTCCAGTTCCTGAATCTTCTCTTGCAGGATCTGCGTGAGGTCCTTATAGCTCTTTCCATTCTCCTTCCGAGCGTGCGCGATGGCCAGGCGGCGAAGGGCGTCGGTGCCCGCGTGGGGTGTCGCAGGGGCGCGCTCCGCCACCACGGGGCCTCCGGTACTGGCCTCTGGCGTGAGGCTTTCCAGAGCCATGTAGGCCTGCGCCAGGAGCTCGTCCACGCGGGAGTCCGAGGAGACGCGCGCCAGCTTGTTGTGTAGCTGCTGCGTCAAGATGTCGTCGTTGAGGATTTTCTTCTCGCCCGCAGCCAGAAGCCCCTCGCCCTTGCCCTTGCTGCTCCTCAGGCCCACGCTGCTCCGTCCGCGCTCCACGCCATCGCTGGCACTCTTATTCAGGGGCGTCGGCTTGATCTTGCCGCGCCCTCCGCCACCGCCGCCGCAGAAGACCGCAGAGGGGCGGGCGTAGGGCGTCTTGGCATTTCTCTTGATGGAAGGCGTCCTAGCAGGCAGGAGCTGCGCGCCACTGTTCTTGGGCGACAGGTGTTTCCTGGGCGTGGACGAGGGCGTCGGCGAAGGCGTGGACCCAGGGGACGTCTCGGGGGAGGACGACAGCTCGCTCGAGGCGTCGCTCTCGCTGCCGCGCCCTCGACGAGGCTTCGACGCCGCCCGCGCCGTCGACTTTACGGTGGCGTGGGAGGAATGGGAGCGGCGGGAGGGCGTCGAGAGGTCCGCCGGCGTGAAGGTGGCGGCCCGGCGGACGCCGATGCTCTGCGCTCGTCGTGTCGGGGACGGAGACGCGCCGTCCCGCCTTGTGCGGTCGTGGCTGCCGAAGGCCTGGTCGCCGATCAGCTGCGAGATAAGTCTGGAGCCCGACTTGCCGCCCATGCTGCCATTCACGCCCCCGTCGTCGCTCGCGTCCTCGTGGCCCGCGCCTCCGCCCTTCATCTTGGCGGCGGAGGAGTGGGTACGTGTCGAGTACAGGCGGTCGACCACAGCGAAGGGCACGAGCGTCTTCGTGGGCGTGGTGGGCGTGGAGGGGGCGCAGCCGCTCGAGTGGCACTTGTGGGGCGGAGAGTCCGTGATGGAGATCATGGGTCCGAAGGGCGTGCCGATGCTCAGCCTGCAGGTTGGGTCGAGGGGCACGTCATTGGCGCAGTGCGGCCTCTTGCACTCGTGGTTGGGGTCGCACGTGCAGTGCTCGGGCACGTGAATGCCGTGCGGGCACGGCTTGAACCGCCATTGTGGTTTATGATAAGTCCGCAACGAGTTCTCGAACGAGCCAAACAGATCGAAGGCACTAGGCATGGTGGCGGCCAAGGAGACCTGGCACTACGCGGGCACTCACGGCGCGTGCCACATGGGTCTTGGAGAGCCAAAACCCGCACTCACACAGCTCGCCGTCTCGGCTCTCACTATCAAGGAAGCGTCAAAATCACTGGGACGCGGGCGCAGCGCGGCACCGTCTAAGCACTGTGGGGCCAGCCAGGCAACTGAGTTCCTCTCGCGCCGTCCCTCACCGTCGGGCAGGCGGGTAGCCTCCCTCCTGCCC